GTAGTCGTCGTCGTCGGCGTACTAGTAGTAGTACTAGTAGTAGTACTAGTAGTAGTAGTAGTAGTGGTAGTAGTAGTAGTAATAATAATAATAGGAGGTGTCACGCCCACTCGGTGCCGTGGGAAGTGTGGCATTCGGGTACCACAAGCATACAATTACAAGAGCATCCTTGTACTTGTTGTTGTTGTTGTTGTTGTTGTTGCTGTTGTTCATGTTTTTGCGCGTCTTGTCGTTGTGGATGGCCCGCGCACCGGGGAGACATATCCGGCTTCAGACCAAAAAGTTGGCACAAGAGCATGTGAAATCTTTTGCCTTTCAACGTGCCATCTACTCGCTTTTAGACAGCCCTAGCGTCTGAAATTTTCCACCCTTCAACGTTGTATATTTAACGTATACGTGGTACGGCTGCAAGGCTTACGCATCACATTGTTGGAAAAAGGATCTCACGGGTTGAGCTTTCTCGTGTGAGTCCTATGGGGGGGACGTTAAACCTGAAACATTTCACGTGCCATCGTCCCCCCAACAAAAGAAGTGGGATGTTTGGGGGCTCGTTGGATACGACAATCCATGAAGAGGCTCTTCGGGTTAGGTGATCATGGTGTGCCATTATGCCGAGAATGTTCCACTTGTTGGGGTCACCTAGTTGCTGAGACCTAGGCTCCTAAAGGTTAATCTGACACTACATGATTATATAGACCCAAACGGGTACGGGTTGCCTGCTCAGCTACTGAGCCCAAATCCTGATGGTCCACAATTTGAGGGCGACGAAACTTTGACGCAGATATATGCAGATTGCTCTTGTTGGTATCCTAGAGGTTCTACCAAGATTATGTGAAGATCAGGCAGGTGTACATTGCTTCTCTCTACAGTTTCTGGGCTATCAGCTAATCATTCAGCATGCGAGCTTGAAGCCCAATCCAGGGGAGTCTTGAAGGTTTCCAGTCGCCCTGCTTTGTCTTGCATGAAAACAATGGGTTGAAGACGTAGTCTGCAGTGCAGGGGTAATGGGTGGTTGAGGGTTGAAGCGTGGCATTTCCCCGAAACCCTCAAACCCCAAATCGCGAAACCCTCAAACTTCTTGTTTAACTGGGGAAACGTGACGTCTTTGGGGCCTACCCCCAAAATACTCCGGTTTTTGGACGCGCCCATATGGCAGACGCTCCCTTGCTGGCGAGGCCGTTTTGGGTTGACTGAGCCTTCGCGAGCAGCTGGCAAGTTACCGCGATCTCGTGGAGCAGTGGTGCCAAAACATGAGCCCGTTTTGTTGTTGATGTATTAAAGTCCCAAAAGAGGAAGGGCCCTCAGCTAGATTCGGTCAGGCAAGCGGCCAGATCGTGAACACACACCATGGGAAAGCCACTTGCTGCTACTTATGCCCCGCATGCCTGCTTGCCTTCCCCAGAGTTAAGGACGTCAAGGTGCGCCACAGACAGGCGCACGGCAGCCCAGTGCCATCGCTCACAGGGCCGTTCAACCGAGTGTAGAATTTACCACATGGCCAAATCTGGAGAAGCTTATCATGGATCGCAGCTGCCCAAGCCACTGGAGGCACCTGCAAGAAACATGTGAGACATTCACCGAGACGAGGTTGCCGGCCACCGATGGGCGTCCCATTCCTTGGAGGTAGCCGCAACGCTGAGCAATCCTCGGCATGCCGCCCACTGGCTACAGGTCCGCTCCCGCGCTCCCTCCAGAGTAGCGAGTCACTCGCGCTGAGCGGCAACGCTGAGCTGAAAGGTGTCTTCGCGCGACACGGATGGCCTGCCATCGTTGACATGCCAAGCGAATGCGCCATCCTCAATGAACACTGCTGCGTGTGCCATCAGTGGATTGCTAACCCCAAACACATGAAGACACATGTCCAATGTGTTCACACTGGATTGTGGCTAATAGCGCCGGTACTGAGAAGCCCGTGCCAATACTTCAATGGCTCCCATTGCCGACCAGACCAACATGCTCGTAAATGCACAGTTATATGGCAGGCTTGTTGCCTTCAACATGTATGGGAACTGCAAGACCACCCTGGGCAATTTGATCTGCAGGGGCCCCAGTTACCCGCCCATACAAGGAAGATGCAGCGAGCACACAAGAGACTGGCGGAGGCAAACTACAGGATGGCGGTGGCCACGGGTCTCCCGCTGAAAAAGAAGATTAGGCGTGATTTCTTCGGGCAATAGGACTGCTCCATAGGCAACACAGTGATGACTCAGCACCAGACTCGGGAGGCAATGTTAGATGCCTGCCGGGCCCGCGAGTGGACACTATTACAAGACCGTGACTGGCTGCAGGCAGCAAAGAACACGTGCGTGCTCTGCCATTGTGAAGTTACCGCAGATAGCTCGCCGTCTAGTCACGCACAGGACCATCATCCGCATGCGTGGCGCATCGTCCAGGCCCAAATGGGTAGCTGGTGTGGCCTCCACACAGCCGATCTTAGGAGGCACTTGACGGAGTGCGCGGCTATGTTGAACGTGCTTCTTGAGCCACTCACTGGCATCAATGTCCACCAGTGGTCCACCAGCCCAGAGGCGGCAGGCAGGGAACTCCAGGATATGTTTGGCAACAACATGGTTCCGTCTCTGTCGACCCGGATGCAGGAGGACAGGGATAGCACAGACAACAAGCGCAAGCTCGCCTGGGAAAGCAGGGGAAGACCTTCATGAACCGCAACCGACCCCAGCGCAAGGAAAACCTCCTACCCTCCCTGTGGCGGATGGAGAGCGAGGTAAAACCCTCAATATCGTTGAGGGTGACGGTGCTACAATCATGGAGCGAAGCTCGGGTGCGGGCATCGATTCAGCCCCCACATTTGGAGGTGTGCCAAAAGCGGGGTGGGCCGGGTGACAGCGGAGGGCAAATGGGCGTTGCTTCAGTGGTAACCGAGCACAGAGTCCCTAGTCCCAATAGAGGGCCAGGCCACGGAGCACGAGACCCTCCTCGAGATTATCAAGGACATCCGTGCTCAGGCACTGGTGGAGGGAGCCCTATACTGATTCCAGGCGAACCGTCCGCTTGCCGAAGAATTGACGAGGCATCAAATCACGTTTACGGCGGAAGCGGGCCTCCGCGTGCCGGGGGCGCTGCAACTCTACGAATCGTTCACAAAGATCATGGGGAATGCGTCGCTACAGCTTGAAGCTCTGAGAATGCACAAACCCCGGTTGCAACCCTCGGCGTTGGCGAACTCGCTCCAGCAGTCCGCGAAGGTCCGAATTCTCAGACTTTTGAACCCACATAACCTGTGCTATGCAAACTCGCTGTCTATGGCATGGCTGTGGCTGTCCGGACTTGACCCAGGTGATCCCCGCAATCAATTTGGCAGTACGTTACTTGACGCACCCACTTGCAGAATCAGCCTACTTCAGATGATGACATGGCAGCCGATTTGGCGGGGCTGGCCAAGACCTCATCTTCAGCAGGAAGCGCAAGAATTCTTTGCACACATGCAATCCACCCAGGCGGCGCCATATTTTGAAGGTGCATGGGAGGTGCGTCTGACACTACAGTCACTACATGACCGTAGCTATGAAGTGGTGGACTCGGGCATTACTTCCCAGGGCCTCCCAATCCCCCTCCCAACGCATCCTGACACGTTGGAAAACTGCATTAAGTCCTGGTGCTTGCAGCCGCATAAGCATGCCTTCACGGCACCGCCAAGATGGCTATGCTTGCATTTGCTCCGCTTCACCCACGATGCAGGAACCATCAGAAAGTCCAACGTCCCCATTGGATTCCAGGCGGGGGAGAGCTGATACCTCTCCCTTGCTTTGTAGACGATGTGAGCCTACGATGGGTACAATACAGAGTCTCTGCCGGCATAGTGCACAACGCTCCCAGCCCACACTCAGGCCATCATCGCGGCTTCCTGACTAAACGCCGGGGTAGGGGAGGAACTAACGGATGATGACACCCCATCCCGAATTGCAACGCCTGAGCTCAATAACCTCATCCAAACACAGTGCTACATGTGCTTTCTGATAAGGCAGGACGCGGAAGGCCATGAGCCGTTACCTCGAAGGGGAAGTGTAGGATCGGACGGATCCACGTAGGGGATCAATTGGGGAAGCGCTGCACCGGACAAAGGTGTCCCTTGCCCATGTCATGTCTGCCCATCATTACTGACAGCCGCTCACACTCACCATGCTTGTACAGCGGCGGCAACTCGACCTTGATGTTCCGCCCATGCCACATCCACACACACACACACACATCCTTGTTCCCCACACCGCTGCAGACAGTTTGCGGACTCTGCCCTGTCTTGTACAGTCTTAGGTAGCGTGCAGTTCCCTGGGACCCCAGATGCCTCTGGCCCCAGGATGGCGTAGGGCGGGTATAACCTGCTGTAAAGACTGGTAGTTGGAGCCCCGCGGGCACACGTGCCGGGGCCGCTCTCGCTGCAACATGTCGCGGAGAGCAAACTTTGCCATATCTATTGGCCGCATGCAATGCCATGTGAAAACCGCGCTAGGTGTCTTATTAACTCACTGCGTCTGCAAAGCAAAAAATTAGTCCCAAAGGTTCTTCTCGGATGATCTCGTTTAGGAAAGTTCATTTTTGGTTAGGTCGGGTGATTGCAAGGAGGGACCGGTAGATCGGAGTACGTGTAGCGACCGAAAAATGATCTCTATGTGCGCAACGGATAGCCTGACGTAATCTATACAATCGCTCACACCTGCAGGTGAAGTTGAAGATGTAAAGACAAGCAGCCCCTCTGTCAAGAACCTACAATTTTCGGAGATAACTGCATATTTCCCAACAACGCGCACACGATCGGCTAATTATGAGCTCTTATGAGCTCTACAACTTACTGGTGGCGAATAGGGAATGAGGGAATGCAATACACATGTAGTCCTTATACAATATATGCCCTTATTCCCTTATTCCCCACTAAGCACCAGCACGTCCATCTCTAGGGAAAAGCACGGTGACCGAGTTCAGATCGCAAGCTGTTCTACATGGTTCTTCACCTGGTCAGTGGCCCGTTTCGGCTCTCGTTTCAGATGCCGCTTGATGCAAGACATGGGCCAACGGTGCGTGAAATTGACGACAGGGCAAGTTGCATCGTGTGGCCCACAGCTCGTGTGCTGCTCCACTGGCTGCGTACCTCTTTGAAGGGAAGTGGCTGGGTGCTCTTTAGCACGAGAAGTTTGATGCTATGAGCCATGAGTGCGAGGTGTAAGCAGTATTGAAATTGATGAGTATGTAGCATCTAGATTTCTTGCTCCCCCCCAGCATGCCCTTTACTCAGTACTTATTAGCCCTAGACCCTCAACTGACACCCCATAAGCCTCAGCATTGAATATAAACCCTATACGTCCCCCTGACATCCCTAGTTTCCAGTACACGTTCGGTTTTCTTTCCAGTTGATTCTCTTTTATTCCCCTATACAGCCTAGGTGTGGGCACAGAGCTTGAAGGCTCTACCGTCCTAGAGCTTGGTGCTGGGACGGGCTTCCTGTCGCTTGGCTTGGCTGAAGCTGGCGTGAACCAGGTGTTTGCTGTTGAAGGCGACGCGGATGCGTGGGAAAACCTGAACCTCAGTTGGCATCAGACTTGTTTTGTTTCCCGTTTGCATAGAGGAAGGTCCTTAAAGCCTCCGTTGCTATCAAGGAAGCCAAAGTGAAGGAAACACAATGTGGCTGCATCTGCTGAAGTCCAGGCGGTATTTTGGAATTGGGAAGTGCATCCAGCTGTACCCGAAGAAGTTCCTCTGCACTCCGTGCAGCTCATTGTAGGCTCTGACCTGGTCTATCCCAGATACTACAGCGAGCATGCTCTGGCGCAGGTGATCCAATCTTTGCCCGGGCATCTGCCAATATTGCTGCTCCTTTGTGACCGCCAGATGCCAGAGGATGCATCTGAAACTTCACCTCCAGTGAGGATTGGGACAGTTCAGGATTTATACATAGGGTATTGCCCCCACTCATTAACAGGTGCATAATATCTATACTATATCAATATATATATATAGCCCCTAACATGACCCCTATTATAGAGTGTTGATGGGTGGGGGCAGGACCCAGTGTACTCAAACTTACAGATGGTGACATATGCTCGGAATGGTTTTCTGCTTTGAACGTGTTCTGTTGATGGGAGGAGGGGTGGCAGTTGTACTGCCATACTCAAATCATGAGGATCCAGCCTGCAATCCGATCAAAGCTGTGTTCGACGTTGGATTTTACGAATTTTGGATCTTGCGGGACAGTTCCCATATTTCTTGTTAAGCCCGTACTCCTAATGATAAAGCCCCCGCCACCCTAAGAATAGATTTTCCCCGTCAATACGTTGGTACCATATTGCGGGGATTAGTATTAGCTTTCTTTTCTTGTCAGTTTGAGATCTATCGAAGGGAGAGAGAGAGAGATGTATATATATATATATATCTCTGTATATATGTATATATGTGTATATATCCATCTGTATCCCCTATCAAACCCTAAGACCTAATCCCTAAACCCTAAACCCTAAACCATCCAGGAGCCTGGACGCTTTTCTCAGCCGGTGCGGTGAGTTGAACATTAGCTTCGTTGAGCTGCCCTTGGTCCTGGAGCCACTGGAACGTGACTACTGTTGCTACAAAATGTCCACGCGGTGTAGGGTTGAGGAACCCAAGTACAAGATAAAACAGAAAGACAACAACACATCATTCCAAAGGTGAGATCTTACTTCGGGCCATGCAGGATGTTGAGCCTCACATGTAGGGAGCTGTAGAGGTTGCATAGGAAATGCTCGGTAGCTGATGGGGCTCAGTTTTCCACCCCGAAGCTTCATTGCATGGTGTTGCCGTTCCTGAAGAATCCCTTCATGGGTAGTGTTTTTCGAATTCATCCCCGTAGCTATCATAGTAGCTTTAGGTTTTGTGCGTAGCACGACTGCTTGAGGAAGGTGGTAGTGTTTCGGTGAATCCTCAGCAAGGCGCTCCCGCTAGATGCCCTGGCCCACATCCTGCAATATACGAGTTGCAGTCTAAACTGCTTAAAAGGGGTTATGTAAGGGCTTATGTAGGGGACTACTATAAGGGGGCATACTTGGAGTTTAGACAATGGCGCCTATAGACATCAAGCCTTGGCACAAGCACGAAGAAAAGACTAGACCTTCAGGGCTCAACGCACTCAGGCTAGTGGAAGCCGTGCTGGGCACTTTGGAGAGCGGAGGCCACGATGATCCTGGTGGCGCTACGGGCACAGTCTCCCGAATGAGGCCCCGACTAAACTGGCCGTTTAGGGGTGTGACAGGGACGCTAGCGTGATTCTGAATTATGGTTTTCGGGGGCTTGATTTTGGAACCCAAAGCCTGAAATCCTCAACCCAATACCCCAATCGCTAAGCCCTCATGTGAGGCTTTTCCGCTTTTTCGGGGGAGAGACCAAGACGTTGCCGCTTTACCAGGATGAGCCCTAGCGCCTGGTGAGCCCTCCTGAAGATCCGTGTGAAGATACACTACCGGGTTGTAAATCCCCTTTAAAAACCTATCGCGGGCAGCTTGTGAGTTGACCTGTCTATCTATTTATCTACCTATCTATCTATCTATCTATATATATATATATATAGATAGGTAGATGGATAGGTGTAAACACATCAAGATGCATGCTTTTCCGGCCAAAATGAAGCTTCATGAGTAGGTGCATCTGGTCCAAAGTCTACACTCCTAGTATCCCCCCTACGAACCCATATGACCATATGATTTAAGAGTGCCCTATATACCCTCCTATAGCTCAAATGGTCTGGCCCCTCCTGGTAGAGCATGCGCCAGAGGCTGACAAGGCCATGCGGGAAAACGTCGAAATCTGCATTAGGTAGGACAACGTCCCGAGTGTGTCGGAGATATAATTTCTACAAACTCCTGATCTCATATAAGAGCCACCGCAATCTTCTCAACAATATTTCCACAATGTTTTGTGGTGCTATATTGAGGGTATTTCTTGTTAGACAATGCTAGTGTTTCCAGGCATACTTGCATAGTCTCCGCATGCTGGTTTGTGTCAACGATTGTGTAAAATGCAATTTTCTCCCTAAACATCTGACAAAAGCAACGTGACTCTCTGCTTAAAGCTTCATTCGCATTACATCATCTTGCACCTCAGAAATCGCTGCAGCTGTTGGCTTCAGACAGAGGATGCGTGATCTAAGGCCTGTATTCAGGGAAAGGGGTTGTTACAACCTCCATGGTACAGCATGTGGACTGTCAGCACCGTCGCAACAATCTACATGACTCACCAATGATGCAGTTTGTGGGACGCAAGCACAAGGACAGCACTCTTTCCTGTATTCCCTAATACAGGGTTCCCTTTTCAGCCGATGGCAGAGGAGCCGGACCTAGCTGCTTCCCAAGTCAGAACGATTATACCTGCCTGGAGGGTCGCGGGAATTAGTAAGTAGGTCAATAACCTCTATAAGTTAGCTTATAAGTATTGCAAAAACCACAGTTATCCCCATAATTAAGCTACTTACAAAGTCCCCCTGACCCGCCGAGGAGATGCTAGGATAAATGTGCTGTAGTAAAGGTATTTATGCAATGCTGTGGACAAAGCATGGAAACTGGTCGGCAGCTCGTTTGACGGATAGGTATTGGGAGTCGGATGGCCGCCTCTGTTTTTGAAGCAAAGTCATGGAAAACTGTGAGCCGTGCTATTGTGATACATTTGGGAGCAGTTTGAAGATGAATCCTGGGGATGGCTTTGCGTTTAGTTTAGTCGTATTCATAGCCGGTAGGATTGCCATGGGTTCTGTTCTGCTGGGTTCCCACTTGCTGCAACAACCATAGATGCTTCACCGCCCAAAGCGCAAGCCACAAAGCACCAATCCAAGGCTCTGAGATATTGAACACATGCCTAAGCGCTGCAGCTGGAGCATTAGGGTTTAGGGTTTAGGGTTTGGGGTTTAGGGTTTGGGGTTTAGGGTTCAGGGTTTTCTTTATTAAAGCCAAGAACTGTGATAGCTAGGCCGCTGCCGACGCATCGCCAAGCGATAGCGCTTTCAAGGACAGGAAAAACAACTTACCTGGCTGGGGCTAGTTGGGAACAAAGGACGAGGACCAGATCCCAATAGCAGTCCCTGTTTTCATTCGATTGCTGCATTCCTTAGTAGCTATCTGTAAGTTCAGGGATCAGGGTTCGCAGGGTTTTTTCTAGTGTGAGTTTCAGGGTTCAGGGTGCATGGGTTCAGGGTTTGTGTAGCTTGCTGTGCGCCTAGACTTCCTTTTTCTTCCTAATCCACGCGTACACCACATCTCAACCTTTTTGGATTTGGTGCTTCTATGTGGGGGTTGTCAAGAGCGGGGTACCTGTTTGCGTTCCCAATTTAAGACTCTTGCATGTAGGGTTCCCACAAGGTTCCATTCTTCCATGCGTGGTCTGCACTGACCGCATGCTCGCTGTTTCGTCTTTTCGGGTCTGCCAAGAACTAGACGTCACCAACGCAGAATCGCTCGCTTCCCTTGGTTGATGGTGGCGTCTGCAGCTTGCTCCAGTTCAGGGTTGGGGGTTATATTGGGGTAATTGAAAATAAACTGGAAACTGCTGCAGTATATTGGGGCTATGTTGAAGGAAACTACTATAGTATATTGGGGTTATATGGGGATAATGGAAAATAAGATGGAAACTACTATGAGGGGTTCAAGTTGTACAAACCCAAAACCCTAAACCCTAAACCCTACACCCTAAACCCTAGACATCCCTAAACCCTAAACCCTGGGATAGACGTGGATAGATAACTCTGAAAGCTGGCTGCAGACGTCGTAAGAATGTTATGTCATGCTGAAGGAGTACTGAGGGGTGCCGGGAAGCTTGCTTAGTCTGTGGACGGTCTCCGATCTTGTGCGGTCGGAGAAAAGGCGCGAACAAAAAAAAAAACAATACCCTAAACCCTAACCCTAAACCCAGGGTTGGGGGTTCAAGTTGTACCTTTCAACATTTTTGGCCCGAAGGCTGGGTTGATGCGAATAGCGGCCCATACAGAGCGGAAGCAAATAGGTTTATATTGGGGTGGGTTATATTGGGGGGCGGGGTTATATTGGGTTTATATTGGGGTTAAATTAGGTCATTTTTCCCCAACAGGACCAAGAAACGCAGACACCCTTATTTGCGGCCAGCCTGCTTCCCACCATCCTGGAATGTAGGTGTCTGATTCATCAAGAGTTTGATCCCTTCATGTTGCATGGAGAATTTATCCATCAGCGACCGACAGTTTTTCATATCATTGTTCCAGTTTTTCATATCATTGTTCCAGTTCTGCATACTTGGAGAAGACGTGTATGCCCATTCTGAACCTTAAGCCCTAGACCCTAAACCCTATAAGCACTAGACCCTAAACCGTAGGCCCCTCATCTTGCGCGAAGGACCGTTTTGCAGGAGATGCAGATGCGGCTTTGCGCAGAGTCCGCGCCCCAGTTTACCCACCGTACGTGGCGGGTCTGGGGGACCTAGTAAGAAATGGAGGAATGGAGAAGAAAATGGAAACTAGTGAATTATTGTAGTATTAAGGGTTTAGGGTCAGGGGGACTCACTAAGTAGGTTAGTACAGTGGATAACTGGGCACGTGAATTATATGGCTTTTTGGGGCTATTAAGCTACTTACTAAGTCCCCTGACCTACTAGGCAAGGTTTGGGTCTTGGTGATTTTGGAGTGTCAGGGTTCACATTCCCAAAGTCTCCATGTAGCTATATGGTATATACTTAAGGCCCAAAGGGGTTCCCATATAATTACTCTAGGGCCCAAGTATATACCATACAGCTACATGGAGCCTTTGGGATTTGTGAAGTTCTTTGTACTTTCCGCTTGGGTGCGAAGGTTTGCAGGTTTGGGACTGAATTGGCTTGGATGCTCAGGGGTTGGCATCTTCAGCGGCAGGTTTTAGATGCTTTCATGATAGTTTGATTTTGTGTTTCATATTGAAAATGTGTTCAGGATGTCTGGAGATCTCTGGAGATTTTGGGAAATTATGTCCGAGGTCCGCACAGGCAGAGGCCATTTGGGCATCAGCTGGCGCAAGTACACGTGGATGCAGGGTTGAAAAACGCTCGAAGCAATTTCAAAACATCCGTGAATGAAAGCACTTCTCTCGGGCATCCGGGCCTTCTTCAAAAGCACTCGAGGGAGCCAGTTGGAGTCGAGGGGCCTTTCTATGTACGACGTGCTCATCTCTTCATTTGGTGTTGCTGTGCTCTTAAAGGGATGTTTTCTTTTTTTTCGATCCTGGTAACAGCAGTGCACGGGGGTGGGATTCCTGTCTTTTTTCTGGGCGGTAGCTACGATCCTGCGCTTTTTCAGGCAATCCCTGCCAGGAAGCCGCAATCGGATTGGCATGTTGCCGGACCAGTACGGAACAGCTGGTACTGATCCTTTCCAAGTCCACAATCCAAAACTTCAATATACCACAGCCATTAATTTCTGAAGCCTGAAAACTCCGACCCACAAGTCAAAACCCAAACTCTACACCCAACCAGGTGCCTGAACTCTAAACCATAATGCCCAAACTCGAAGCGCCGCCTCTTAAACAAAGTCCTAATGCAAAAGACTGACAAAACCCACGGCCAAGGTATCCTTTGATGTTGGGGTGAACCAAGCCGCGAATCCAAGTGGCCTCCGACCCAGATCTTAGATCCAAGGCTACACATTAGTAGATCCTCCAAAAAGCGAGGTTTTGGTTCAGGATCTTCACGTGGGAAATGCTTTTCGGGCCATAGCTTGTGAATCTCCAACTGAAAAAGGGCCTTACACATAACAGACATTGCGAAAATGCTCCTCTGATTTGTGAACCTTCAGCCATAAATCTTACACCCTTAGACCCTGAACCCGAAATCCTAAACCTGAATCCTGAAGTCTAACTGGGTTTAGCGAGCTTAGGAATACATTGGGATCTTGAGGAGCTCCCGGGGTGCCTTTCGCAAGCTTGCGTAATCCCAGAAGAATCCATGTATCATCCCTTTCGAAACCTTATCTATCTCCTATAGAGCTCTTTTAAAGGGGCCCTCATGCCCCTGACTGATGCCCCAAGCCCCAAACCTAAAACCAGAAACCCTAAAGGCCACAAACGTCAATCACACCTCTAAATCCCTAAACCCTAAACACCTACACCCTAAATTCCTAAACCGTAAATGCCTAAACCCTAAATTCCTAAACCCTAAAATCTTCGCACTT